AAAAATGAGAACAGTTTGTACGACGCTGTCCGTAATATTGCATCCATTCTGTTCTATCTGAATATTTTCCGTAAATTAGCTGCACGAATGTACTCACAATATGTTTATCATTTCAATATTCCCATGTTTAAAGGACGTAACAGCTAATACACGATATATATATATAGATATATATATATATATACTATATATAATAGTATTCGAACCACATATAGTGAAGCTAAGTGGTTCGCGCAAATCACGTGGGATTGTTCCGATAAAATACAGTCATGGCTTCGGTTCTTTTTAGTGTTCGTGATTACCACTGACTAGTTCGATTTCTGCTAAGTGAAGCCTTGCACGTTCCTGCGCGTTGTAGGACCTGTCTATGCTGAATAGGCACGCATATGGCAGGGTGTATCACTGGCTATTGCATATACGAGCAGCCATTGTGCCTCGGCTAGTGATATACTAGAACAAAACGTTCGTGTCGTGTTAGACAGGTTGTGTAGACATGATATATATATTTTACAGAGTTTATGATACGAACTATACGTGTGCGTGCGTTTCAGGGCCGCAGTGACTAGGCGGGAGCGAGGATATGAAAAATTAAATAAAACGCATAACAAGTGAAATAAATGCCATGAATAATAGAACGCAGTTATCCCTTCAAGTCTAAATCTATTCCGACGAGCGGTTTATTTCTCAAACCCTTTCCATAATAACGTATTCCCTCGTCGTTAGCACGAACCTGCGAGATAAAAGCTCAGCTTACAGAGCACGCAGCGTTGCTAAGCACATGATCGAGGGTGGTGGTGGGGGGAGGGCCGCACATGTACCCTAACAAGTCACCCAAGGAAACCCTGGACCGCCATGTTTTTCAGCGCAGGCAGCGAGCGTGAAATATGGATTTCTCGCGTGAGCTCGCGCGAAGCCAGCGAGATGTGCACGCACGCACGTTTTACGGCGCAGCACGAGCCCCTATGCCGTCTCCATGTTTCATGAGCTTTTATAGCTGTACTGGATGCCGCGAACGCTCAACCAGGTTACTGGTCGCTGCTGTCTTCCAATTTAGCCGAAATAGAGGATGTTAATGTGTTTATAGGTAGAATACGGTTACATGCTGGAGCTATCGCAGAACTCAAATTGATATTACGCGCGTAATGCGACAGGGGAAGGTAAATTTATTGGGGCTACACAAGTAAAATGGGCGAGTGAGCGCTGCAGTAGCTTCAGCACGTTACTGTGCGCCGTACTGACACACTGAGTTACACGGAAGCGCTTCTCGTGCTTTGATGCTATTCTCTCACTGTATTTAGTCGTGTTTTATCGGTATTTTTCGGTTATTTTCACTATAGGTTGTTTAGCATATCATTATTTAAGAAATAACTGCTGAAAAATAATATGACGGAGAAGCAGTTAGCACGTTCACATAAAGCATTAAAGTAATGACAAAACAACCGATGCATGAGGGTCAATTAAAAATGTGTACTAATAAATATTCACACTATCACAGCACGATGCAGCTTTTTAGAAATTATGCCTAACCATTATGTCGCGAATGAAAATACGCGCCAGTAAGTAAACTACTTAAAATTGTAAATGAACAACACCAAACAAGCTAGTTTTACGGGGAAAATGCTATATTTTCCAAAATACTATTTTATTATTTTAATATATTATATATATATTAAATATTGTGTGTGTGTGTGTGTGTGTGTGTGTGTGTGTGTGTGTGTGTGTGTGTGTGTGTGTGTGTGTGTGTCGTGTGTGTGTGTGTGTGTGTGTGTGTCGTGTGTGTGTGTGTGTGTGTG